TGTGTGTGCTATATAGAGTGTAATTTCACCTGTGCCATTAATATGTTTATAAGCAACTGAAAAAAGCACAAATGTCAGAGCATGCCAAAACATCTCAAGGACCCCGAAAACACCTTAGACCCCAGAGGGTTAATATGAGAGCAGAAATACATGTGAATAACATTCAGGTCCTTATAGCACATTTAATGTACAACAAAGACACACGCGAGAGCTAGCATTAACATAACCGTACATTTAGACTATCACCAGATTACACTCTACGACTTACAGTTTTTCTCAATTGCTAAAACACTAAACCCTATTGTCTGAACCAAATGCTCAGTTGCCTGAACCCACTGATTGAATCAATCACTCTTTTGGCAAAACCATAAGCACTTTTCACCTGTTTAGACACAACTTGCCAACACATTTTCATTGTGATGCACCCGTGCTGCATAATGGTGAGCACAGGTGACAAAAGTCAAACACAATTAAAGCACAGTTGTCACCACTTGAACACAACAACTCAAAATTGATCACACTTGTGGCTAATTATGTGAGGGAACATATACAGTAAGCCAGTTCAGAGAGCACTGGTTTGTGAGGCCCTACAATGGATATAAATCTGAGAGAGTTTTCACAGACCCCTCCAGGTTAGAGAGTGGTTCAATATGAACCAAGGTTTTACAGTATTACTGTACAGTAATCTTTGCCTTCCACCGTACTCCCCTTTCCTAAACCCCAATGAGGAATTCTTCTCCTCATGGCGGTGGAAGGTATATGAACGCCAACCTTACACCAGGGTAAATCTCCTGCAAGCCATGGGACTTGCCTGTGGTGACACAGGTGTGGAGGCATGCCAAGCCTGGATACGGCATGCCAGGGGTTTTTCCACCGTTGCCTGGCCAAACAAAATGTGGCCTGTGATGTGGATGAAGTCCTGTGGCCTGACCCAGTACGGAGACATGATGCTGTGGCTGAGTAATGCACTTATTTGTATTTTTTTGTACTTTATTTTTACATGGGCTTACTGTACACAAGTGGCAAACGCATAAGATTTCTGTTTGTTTTTACAAGTGCTACGTGTAAATGCACAAGATTTCTGTTTTGTCTTTTTGTACAAGTGCTAAATGCACAGTTTTTTTTTTTTGCAACATGCATTTAGCCGTGAACACTAAACATTTATTTCTCCAGCTTCATGTCCTGAGCATTGTGTTTTCTATTTTTCTACGTAGTGTTTAGTGACTGTTCAGTAGTGTTTTTAATTTTGATTGACTTGGGGCACGATTTGACAACATAGTTCAGTTTTGAGCACAGATTGAACTGTTTTGAGGTGAAAGTTTGGTTTTGCAAGAAGAGTCTGAGGTTTTGTGAATATAGCTTGAAAATTGGGTTTTGTGTTCACAGTTTAGAGAAAAGGAGAGCAGCTTTCAAGAAATGTGTCTTAGCAATCGAGAAAAACTGTAAATTATAGTCAAACATAATAAAGAATAACTCCAGACAATATCACAAAACAAGATATACATACCGACGATGCTATGCCAGACACAAGAAGTCGACAGATACGGTGGAAATGCAGAGTTTTTAACAGACTTGAAACGCGCGTGCAGTGCGAGAGTTTTCCTAAGACTACGGGTCACCAGATAGGACATTTAGAACCATGCGAACTTAAAGTGAACATGACCTAAATAGAAACGCATAGGAAAAGAATATTCCTGCAACACATTATAATTCTGAAATGCTGATTAAATGTAAAGCATGTTTATCTTATGTGACTTGAACTTAATGCTGACTTATTATTATTATTTATTTCTTTTTTACTCATAACAAAACAATGAGAGTGATTTGCGCGTAAAGAGACCTTCCCGAAAACTCATCTCCTGATTCACAAATACTTCGTAAACGTCAGATGTGATAGTGAAATGTGTGTGTGTTAATGAATTCCAATCAGTCGTAAATGAGACGTGCGTGCACGCTCATTCTCAATTACCATAAATCCCGCCCATTAAATCCGACTGACAACTATATATGGGCATCATATTATGACACCAAACGAAGGATTTCAACATGTCTTCTCAAAATCGAATGAAAAAGAAAAATTTCTCAGATGCAGAAATCGAAGTTTTATTATCAGAAGTTCATTTAAAACACCACATTTTATTTTCAAGCATAGGCTACATAGTGGCGTATCAGGTCCTAAAAAAAAGGAAGCTTGGCAGCATATTACAGATGCAGTTAATGGAGTTTCATCTGTTAATCAAACAGTCCCAGAAGTAAAAAGAAAAACCGTATGTAATTACTATATATATTTTTTCAAAATGCTGTGTAAATATGTACCCGATTAAGGTGAATTAAAATGCAGCCTTAGTCATTAATGAGCAAAACGTTCGGATGTTAAACTCACTATTTACGCGTGGCTGGGAGCAGGTGTAGATTTCTTTCGTACCAACTAACATTTGGAAAATACGAACATTTTAATGAATCCAAAAATTTACGCCAGAACCACTTTACACACGATTTACACAAAAATTCGTTCTGATCGTGTTTGATGAATGAGACCCATTGAGGCTAAACCTAAATCACTTTAATACTGATCATTTTAAATACACTTACATCATTTACAAATTCCCTTCCCTGATCTGAGAGAATTCTCTGGGGACAACCATGCCTATAAATGATGGAACAGAGATGTCTTCCAACTTCAGCTGCTGTCTTGGTTTTTAAAGGAAAAGCCTCAACCCACTTAGAGAAGTAGTCTGTGGCTGTGAGGATGTATTTAAAGCCATCTGCAGTTTCAGGTAATGGTCCAGTTAAATCAATGCCAACAAGCTCCCAAACAGCAGAAACCTATCAAGTCCACCAAATGTAAAGTAAGTTTAGTGTGTATAAAGTAGGTTTAGTATATTAGGGGTGGAACGGTACACAGAAGTCACAGTTCGGTTCATACCTCGGTTCAGACATCACGGTTCGGTACGATTTCGGTACAATGGAGGGAAAAGCAAAACAAAAATGCAGAAGGCATTGTATTTTTTAAATAAGTTTTATTAATAAAGGCATAGAACCAGTTTATTTGTAGTGCACTGACAATAGTTTTATATAATTTGTTTATTAATTAAATTAATAAAAAGACAAAAAGACCTTGCGATATGTTTGGTAATTGTACCTGAATTTAAAATGAATTTGCTATATTTCAGATATTTGTTTTCCTTAATTTTAATTAACATTATTAATTAACAATGTAACATTATTCTCATCTGAATTATAAATAATTGACTTCTGTATAAAATAATACTACCATTAAAAACGCATTCGATTTTCTTTTTTAATCAATGTAGAATGTGTAAGATTAGTGCTCCGAGGACGAGAAATGAAAACCAATGCGATATGATGAATGTCTCAAAGATGGGACCCACAGACTGTTTTGAAATGGAGTTGGATAAATATGTTTTGCTTTTAAAACAGTGTGTGTGTATGTGAGAGAGAGAGATTTTGGTTGGGTGACAGTTGTAGGTTACAGTTTGACAAGAGTTTACAGTGTGACAAAAGCACCATATGTTGTGTTTTATTGCGAGTGTACACAAATATAAGTAAACACTTTGCAGGTTTAATGATCTGTATGAACAAAATGACGGAGTATGTTTTTTATGTTTCCACTGTTCGATCGCGGCCGCGCCTCTCTCTCACACACACACACACAAACACACACACTCCAGCATTGCAATCTTGACATCGCAGCCTGTTCATTATGCGGTCACACCAAACGCGAATAGAGCGTTAAATTCAGGTCTATCGCGTCTAGTTCGACGCTAGTCCAAAGCGAATAGGACGCGCGTATAAAGCCAACGTTTGAAGTGAACGCGCGTTCAGAGCTAAACCGATGGTACAGATAATGTGTCCCTAAAGAAACCCGCGTATCTAACAGTAGTTCCGCATTACATTAATTAATTTTCACGCGAGTTTAATTTATTTTTATACCGTGTATTCTCCGTGTAAATTCGTGCACCGAACCGTGACGCCCGTACCGTTTCGGTTCGGTACGAATACATGTACCGTTCCACCCCTATAGTATATGTATACTGTATACATTTAGTATATGTATACTGTAAACATCAATTTAATATTTATTTTAGAGGTCCTAAGCTCTGGAGTGATTTAAGTCCATCGTTGCGATCAATGTCCTCTTATTCAGCTTTTAAAAAGCATTTGAAGAGACTACTATTGCTAGTCTGACGCCTTTATGTAGTCTTTTCTAGGCATTGTTTGTTTGTATTGAATTGCTTTGTATCGTTTGTTGTTTGTTTGTTTTTTTATTGTGAGTTTTGTTTATTATTCTTACATTTACATTTTTACATTTATTTACTCATAAAAGCTGACGCTTTTATCCAAAGCGACGTACAATTGCTATATATGTCAGAGGTCGCACCCCTCTGGGGCAACTAGGGGTTAAGTGTCTTGCTCAGGGACACATTGGTGTCTCACAGTGGATTCGAACCCAGGTCTCTCACACCAAAGGCATGTGTCTTATCCACTGCGCCATCACAACCCCTTATTCTTTTTTGATGTTTAGTCTGCATGTCTCATGAGTTAATAGGAGCAGGAGTGGAACTCTGTACAAGCCTAGAGTGGCTTCGTTCCCTCCTTGCATTGTTCTGTACTTGTACTTAACGTGCTAAACAAATAAACTAAACTAAACTAAACTAAACTGTATGTTACTGCACTTATTTACCTTGATGCACTGTAAGGTCTGCACAGCAGTCAAAGGCTTTCCAACTTTTTGACATTGATCACATTCCAATACCTTTCAGAAATTGTTGTATATATATATATATATATATATATATATTTGTGAGTTGATATATATATATCTATAAATATAAACTAAAATAACTATATAAAATAAATAACACATACCCAATTTTCAATGTCAACTGACATGCCATGATGGCAGCATGTGTTTTACCAATCCCCGTGTGTCCACCAATGGGCGAGGAATGGAATTCTTCAAAGAGCATCCTGGCTTCCTTTGGTTTTGATCACTCTTTTACTTCCATAAAAAAGCTCTCCATCTACATTAAAGAGAAAACATGACTATGACAGAAGTAAAAGGACATTTGGCATTGTTGGAAAAGAAAATCAAGATGGGAACAAATGAATAATAAAATAAACATAATTGAAATGTAAAGTTAAAATAACTACCCTTTAGGTTGAATTTAAGTGGATATCTTCTAATGTTCTGCCTTTTGGACTTATCATACCCTGATGGGTATGATCCCACTGACAGAAGATTATACAATGCTTCCCACTTATCTTCCATAGCTGTCAAAAAATGCAAGAAAAAAAAATCACAAATAGATAGGGGGGTTTAACTAGATTAATCAAATTTTTTATGTGATTAATTGTAATTACAAACATTATATATACATTTATTATATTTTATAATGTAATAATTTCACAGTTGATCTCCAAATTAATGCAAAAACAATATAGAGTATATATTCTAAATATTTGTTTAATGGCGTATTTTTATGAATGAAAATAGCTGTCACTTTATGACCTGCCGCTGCTGAGAGAGACGCGGATCTCACACGCCTCACACTCTACGATCATTTGATACTTTATTTAATTAATTTAAGACTGATCTTATGAGGACACTCAACAAAACGGACATTTTGACATAATTGTGTGTGTTTATATTTTACACCAAACAATCAAATCATATGCCCCGCCCATATCTAGCCTAATGTTTTCATGAAAAATGCTAATATGATCAATGGTGCTAGCTGGCTTTGTATGAATGTGACCGTAAACAGTTCTCATTACTGCTATATATCTTTGTATAATAAAAATTAACATAAATAGTGAAAAACTTACCTCAGATGAAGAAGTTCTCACGCAAGTAGTAAAATATTATGGGCGTGTTCTTCAGCGTGACAAAAATGACGCAATATTAATGTGCGCATGCGCAGTAAGCCTTGGTAGGACAATCTGACGGGTAGGATCATAGATATCCATAATAATTAGTAGTGGTGGTAGTAATTGACCCTTCGCTAAGCCACGCCCGAAAACCGCCACTGGCCAATCGTGTCTTAGCAACCGTAACTGGGCGCGGGAGGTCTGGCAAGCTTTCGAGCGAGGGAAACATGCCGAAGTGTTGTGCGTATGGATTGTGCAAATCTGATACCCGATATCCTAAAAGTTTGGACGGGGGAGTGGAATTTTTTTCCTTCCCGAAAATCTAAAAGCCGAGGGGAGAAATGCCGGGCGTGATCAAGCAGTGTGTGAGACCCCATTCACAACTACATGTCCACAGGATTAACAAAAACACCTATTGCTTGGAAGTTGGAAATAATGACGGTTCTTTGTTCATAATGCATATTTTAACGTAAAATAAGACGATTAAAGACAAGATGGAGGCTCACTGACATACTTTAAAATATATTTCAGCATTTTGTTAATCGACAGCCTACTACCCCTGACTAAGTAACGTTAACTTTAACCCAATCCGACCGTGGCTCTCCCGGTGTTATTCCGCAAGATTTATTTCCTGTTTGATTTATAATTATTACCGGTAGATTATTTTCACATCACTTACCCTGCTGTGCACGAACATAGCTGTTCCTCAATTTGTGTGTTTCCCATTTGAATGGTCAGCGTATGAGGCCTTGCGCTGGGACTAGGCTTTAGCTTCAATTTTTATGAAATTATTCTCTAATCGGTTGCATATTATGTCGTAGATATATCCCTCGAATGCATATCTTCTAATGTTCTGCCTTTTGGACTTATCATACCCTGATGGGTATGATCCCACTGACAGAAGATTATACAATGCTTCCCACTTATCTTCCATAGCTGTCAAAAAATGCAAGAAAAAAAAATCACAAATAGATAGGGGGGTTTAACTAGATTAATCAAATTTTTTATGTGATTAATTGTAATTACAAACATTATATATACATTTATTATATTTTATAATGTAATAATTTCACAGTTGATCTCCAAATTAATGCAAAAACAATATAGAGTATATATTCTAAATATTTGTTTAATGGCGTATTTTTATGAATGAAAATAGCTGTCACTTTATGACCTGCCGCTGCTGAGAGAGACGCGGATCTCACACGCCTCACACTCTACGATCATTTGATACTTTATTTAATTAATTTAAGACTGATCTTATGAGGACACTCAACAAAACGGACATTTTGACATAATTGTGTGTGTTTATATTTTACACCAAACAATCAAATCATATGCCCCGCCCATATCTAGCCTAATGTTTTCATGAAAAATGCTAATATGATCAATGGTGCTAGCTGGCTTTGTATGAATGTGACCGTAAACAGTTCTCATTACTGCTATATATCTTTGTATAATAAAAATTAACATAAATAGTGAAAAACTTACCTCAGATGAAGAAGTTCTCACGCAAGTAGTAAAATATTATGGGCGTGTTCTTCAGCGTGACAAAAATGACGCAATATTAATGTGCGCATGCGCAGTAAGCCTTGGTAGGACAATCTGACGGGTAGGATCATAGATATCCATAATAATTAGTAGTGGTGGTAGTAATTGACCCTTCGCTAAGCCACGCCCGAAAACCGCCACTGGCCAATCGTGTCTTAGCAACCGTAACTGGGCGCGGGAGGTCTGGCAAGCTTTCGAGCGAGGGAAACATGCCGAAGTGTTGTGCGTATGGATTGTGCAAATCTGATACCCGATATCCTAAAAGTTTGGACGGGGGAGTGGAATTTTTTTCCTTCCCGAAAATCTAAAAGCCGAGGGGAGAAATGCCGGGCGTGATCAAGCAGTGTGTGAGACCCCATTCACAACTACATGTCCACAGGATTAACAAAAACACCTATTGCTTGGAAGTTGGAAATAATGACGGTTCTTTGTTCATAATGCATATTTTAACGTAAAATAAGACGATTAAAGACAAGATGGAGGCTCACTGACATACTTTAAAATATATTTCAGCATTTTGTTAATCGACAGCCTACTACCCCTGACTAAGTAACGTTAACTTTAACCCAATCCGACCGTGGCTCTCCCGGTGTTATTCCGCAAGATTTATTTCCTGTTTGATTTATAATTATTACCGGTAGATTATTTTCACATCACTTACCCTGCTGTGCACGAACATAGCTGTTCCTCAATTTGTGTGTTTCCCATTTGAATGGTCAGCGTATGAGGCCTTGCGCTGGGACTAGGCTTTAGCTTCAATTTTTATGAAATTATTCTCTAATCGGTTGCATATTATGTCGTAGATATATCCCTCGAATGCATATTGCAGTCCCTTTTGTCTTGCTCTCTCAGATATTTCACATGTTCGCCAAAAATTACTAATTATCTCATTGGGAATGTCTGATACCGGTGCATACACACTGTAATAGATGTGCCAGGCGCGAAAGCTTGACAGGCGTAGCAACAGTAACTAGGGAGGGCGGGGCTTAGCGAAGGGTCAATTGTCATTTATCTACTACAAGTTACATGGTCAGATCAAATGTATTTGTACAATGCAACTATGTAGGATGATTGAAATATCCTTGAACGTTCTTTGTAGCATTTATATAAACAATTTATTACAGTTCAAGTCATAATTTGCTTGTTGAAGTTTTGGCAAAAATCAATCTCGCCTAGGGCAACCAAAGGGCTAGAGCCGGCCCTGCGGTTAAAAGATGGCTGTGTCTCATATGATCTTGTTATTTGTACACTCTGTGACTATACAAATCACAACATGTAAATAGGAAAATGTTTGCATTATTTTGTCACTTATTGGGATTAGTATGCTAGCTGGAGGCATTTACATCCTGTCTTTGTGCTAAGCTAGGCTAGCGGTGGGTGCGTCAGACAGTTACAGCACGCACAGAGATGAAAAAGGTATGTATGGACTTATCTAACTCTGGGGGATACGGTGAATAAGCTAAAGTCCCAAAAAGTCGGCGTGTTCCTTTAAGTGTTACAAAGCCACAATCTGACACACAAAGGTCATGACCTGTTAGCACTGATGGTCCATCTCAATCTGCTCCCTAGTTAAGTAGTCAGGGCACTCATCAGGGAGTTGGCCATTTTAAGGGCTGTCTCAATAGCAAAATCCTTCCAGTGCACTGAAACGTTCGCTGCCTAAAAAGTCCCACAATGCACTGTGAAAACCAGGGAGCACTGATGCTCACTATGTTCTCTTAACAGAAGTTCTGAAGCGGGAAACATAAATCACGTGAGCCAACTCACTACACATAATGACACGATAGATCTTTTTTAAAATACAAACCATTATATTTCAGCATAAACATACATCGCTAGTGTCAGGATTCCACCAGCTTCACTCACTCCTCCCACTCGTTCACAGTCCCCTGAGTTTTAATCACCATCACCTGCACCTCATCAGTTCACCTCCCTGCCTATATATTCAACTCCTCTTTACACACTCTGGTCTCGTCTCTACATGACACTACAGACTATCACGCTACTTACCTGCTGCTTACCCGCTACCTACCTGAGTTCCATCCATCGATCACCTGCTAACCTTCACATGGAAGTTCAGTCTAGTGATGGCCAAATGAAGCGTTTCGAAGCAATATTGCTTTCTGATACAATTGTGTCGAAAATGGTTCATTACTCGAAGCTTCATTCAGATAGAAATTGCAGCACCATCTCCTGGTGAAGTAAATGTAATGCAACAAAGCTGACAACCATAAAATGCAAGTAGGCGTATATGTTAACGCCCCGTATATTATGTGTTTACCGAGGCGATCAAAGCTGAAACAGTTAGTGCTGTGAAACTCGTTTATGTAGGTGAATTTTACAGATACTGATGAATTTCATGTGTTCACCTTGATAATAAAACATTAAGCATGATGTGTGTGTGTGTAATTATTTCTTTAGACAAGGACAGAAGATCAGACCAGCTTAAAAAAAGTTGGACACCATCACAGAAATTCTAATGGTTTCTATTAAAATACCAATAGGAACCATTGGCTTTTACCATTTAAACCACTACAGAATTATTTTTTGTAGTGTGTTTGGGACATATTCCATTAGGATTTAATGCCCCCACCAATAGAACCCAACACATATCAGTAGAGACCCGCAGAGACCACTATAATTCCCATTACAACCAATAAAATTCCCATGAAAACCATTAAATTCAATAGAATTTCTGTAATGGTTTCTATAGTTTTTTTTAGCAGGGCAGTATCATGTGTGAAAGCTTTATCTTGTTTAGCTGTGGGAAGCAGAACTCTATAACTTGTTAACTGGTGGGACTGATACTTTTGTATGTTGAAAAGGATTTGCTTGTGTAACTGGTTGTACTTGTATAATGTAGCAGAGGGTTTTTGAAGTTTCTGTCTTTCTCCATATCATTCACTACATATGTAAAAATATTTGTATGCAGAAATGTCAAAGAACTAACCTTATTCGGGGAAATAAGTTTAAAATGTTCCCAAACTTGGCGAGAAACTCTCTTTCTCGCTGGCTCCATCACAACACTGAAATAAACTCAATCCACTCTCAACAATAACGCCAATCCAAACACCGACTACTACAACCCACGGTGTTGCCATGGTTTGGCTTCACTTTTATAAGAAATACAGCCGCCAGGTTTCAAACCTGTCAACACTGAATTGGGCTGTCAAAGCAGTCAGGTGGTTCACTACAGGAGTGAACCAGTGTGTTTGCTTCAGACGTCATTTTCACGTGACTAGTGACGTAATGATACAAACTCCGAAGCAGTGGATCTGCAACCTGTAGGTTGGAAGGGGAAATGGCGGCGTGAAGTTGACAGCGTGAGTGAATCAGTCCGTGAATAATTGTCTTTAAACATGTAATTTAAAGTGCATCTCGATCAATTCTTCATATTCTTTACTCGAAAGCACTTTATGATCATTTAGGGGTCTGTTAAGTTTTTATTTTTGTTTTTTAAATTCTGCTTTTGGGATATTCGTGTCGTGATCGGCCTATCCTTATTTAGATTTTCGTTGCCTAAC